GGCCGTGCCTGCGGCCCGCTGCCCTGGGAGCTGAGCGCCGCGCTGCTGCTGCTCGCCGCCGCCTGCGCCGCCTGCCTGGTCCGCTCCTGGGCCGCCCCCGGGGCCCCTGTCTAGCCCAGCCCCGGCCCCGCGCCCAGCACGAGACTCCCCGAGGGCCCCGAGATGGCGCCCGACGCCCGCGCCCGCCTCCCCGACCCTCCGCAGGTAAGACGCGCCCCGACCTGGACCCGGGGAGAGACCCCTACACGTCTCCGTCCGGTCCCTCCCGGGAGGCCCTTTCCGCACCCCAGACCGAGGGTGGAGGGACCCCTATCGTCCCTCTTGGACCTTTGAAGGCACCCCTCTTTATCCAGGACTTCGGGGGGCACCCCTTCTCATCCTGCACCCCCGTGAGGCCCCACCTGCATCCCGGGCTCCAGGGGACACCCTTTCTCCCGAGATGGGGCACTTTTTATCTCCAGCCGCTGAGGAGGTTCCCCATTTCCTAACTCCCGGGAGCCTCGGTTTTCTCTCGGACTCTCGGGGTACCCCGTTTCCCTCCTAAGACTCCCCAGTGCCAAGTCCCCGCGGAGGGACTCTTCCCCCCACCCCGGTGTCCTCGCCGACAGCGGGGCTGGGACAGCACGGCTGTGTCCGGGCATGTGTTCTTTCGGAGCCGGGAGGGAAGGAGGCGTGAGCTTCAGGCCAGCGCAGACCGCGGAGACCGGCCTTCCAGGGGGCTGGGGGAGGGGGGGACCTCCATCCACTTTCCGCCTTCCGTCTCTCCGCAGGGCGCGTTCGCGCAGCTGGTGGCAGAAGATGGTGAGTGACCTGTGCCGCTCCCCACGACGAAGTTGGGGCGGGGGGCTGTGGGGTGCACTAAGGAAGGGAGCCCCGGAGAGGGAGGCTCCCTCTCTGACCCCATTAGACCCTCTTCCCCTCCTCCCTTTCAAAAGTGGCCCCTCCCTTCTTAGAACCTCATCCATCCCTCTCTGGGTCTCCTCCTCCTCTGACCCTCATCTGTGCCCATCTCAGACCCCCGCCCTCTCAGAGCTGGGGCTTGATTCCCAAGTCCCAGCCAGTCGGGTCTCTCCTATTTGGCTCTAGGAGATCGAGACCCTCCTCCCCAGGCCTGGTTCCCCTCCTCCCTTCCAGAAACCTTCCTTTCCACTCACTGCCCCTTCCCCTTCCCGAGACCCTCCTCCCCTTCCCCCTTCCTGAAACTCTTCTCTCTGCCTCCTCCCTCTGCCCCTCCCCCTTCCAGACTCTCCTCCTCCTCCCTCCAGACCCTCCCCCCAACACCCTTCCCTCCCCTCCTCTTCCTTTCTCTCCTGTGGACTCTTCTTTACATGTCCTTCCCCTCCTCCTTTCGGACTCCTGCCACCTCCTTCTGCTCTGTCTTAAGGAGACCTTTCTCGCATCTTCTCTCCTTGGAGTTCTCTCCACCACCTCCTCCTGTCCCTTTTCCTTAAAATCTTCTACCTCTCTCGAAGTCCCCTTGTTTCCTAATCTCTTGGATTTTTTCTCCTTCGCGACAGCCTCTCCCTCCCTTTCCCCCCATACCCCCCTTCACAATCCCCCTTCTCACCCCCTTCAGAGTCCCCTCCTCCATCCTGTCCAGTCTCTCTCCCCACATCCCCCTCACCTCCCTCTCCAAACCCCTTCCTTTCATCCCTCAGAGCCCCCCACCCCTCCCCAGGGCTGCACCTCTTCCCCACGTGCTCAGTGTACCCCTCCTTCCTCCCACAGTACAGCTGACTGAAGGGCCTCTGCGCTGGTACAGTGACCCGAGTCTGACAGGTGTGACTCTTGCGCCAGGCATGAGCTATGACAAGCAAACACATGAGCTGGTGGTGGCTGAGGCTGGAGTCTACTATGTTTTCTTGAACTTGGGTCTGAAGCGAGTGGTGGCCAGCAACAGTGACAGCATCTCTGGCTCCGTCTCCGTTGCCCTGCACCTGCAGTCTCTCCATGCCAGGGCCGCCTCCCCGGCCCTGACCTTGGACCTGCCACTCCCATCCTTGGGGAACTCAGTGTCTGGTTTCCGGGGTGGCCTGCTGCATGTGGGTGCTGGACAGCGCCTGGGCGTCCACCTGCACCCCGCGGTCCGGAAGTCCCGCACCTGGCAGCTCTCACAGGCCACGGTCTTGGGCCTCTTCCGTGTTGCCACCGAAGTCCCGGCTGGACTCCCCTTGTGACAACTCATGTGACTCCAAGCCCTGGACCAAGACTGAATCTTGCCTTCCTTTGTTGGGGCCCTTGGTGATGGGGCCCGGCTATTCTACCTCACCAGGCTGGGCAGGGGTCCGTGCTGCTGACCCCCTCTTCCAGAACTCTCCAGGTCCCAACGTCACTCCTGCCCTGAGTCGGACTCTTGGTATTTATTCTGAGCCTGAGCTCAGACAGTGTACATTATATTAATCCATTCAACTTATATTTATTGAGCTTCTGCTCCGTGCCAGGCACTGTGCAGGGCTAGAGAAACATCAGCAAATGAAAAAGAACCCCCTCCCCGCCAACCCTTATTTATGTTAATATATGAGAAACGGAGATGCATTCCCCAGCCCCACCATGAGATTTGTGGGGCTCGCTTGTGGGAGTCCAAGTAACTCTGCAGTGTGAGCATCATTCATTTATGCAACTCTTCTCCAGCACCTGCTGTGTCAGGCACTGTTTTAGGTGCTGGGGACACAGCCATGGGCAAGACAAGACAAACCCCCAAGCTCCCAGCTTTTGCCAAGCTGATGGTCAAGTATGCTGGCTGACCTCATGACCGAGTGTGTGTGACTCTGTGTACCTGGGCCGTGTGGGAGGCTGAGATGGTCCATGGTATTGGATAATAAAATATTTATTAGTGTAAGACCTGATATATCGAACAGGTACTATATGCTGGATTATGAGTTATCTTGAGACTTACAACTACCCTGAGCCTTAGGGATTTTATTATTTCTGTGTTACTATTATCTAGGCTCTTGAGATTTTTTTTTTTAAACCTGTACTATATCTGGTGGTGGAAATACTGTATAATGTCATTCTGCAAAACATTACTTGCTTCCCTGGTTCAGTGACAGCACACTGGTAACTTACATTCAGCCGCAGTAGGAGTATTTACACCATGGGAAGCGGCAAATGCTACGAGTCAGGGCTCGGTTTATTCTTTGTTGATTGTCTATACTTAAAGGGATGGAGAAAAAGATGTTAAACGTAGATTAGACTTAAGCATGTCTTGTCTGTAGCTGTTGCATTGTGAACAGCACACACGTCGAGGAAGTCTCTCTAGCGTTTTCAAACCCTTATCTGATTTGGCAAAAGAAATTGCTCATATCATCAAAAAGCAAGTGAAGTGTGGACGCATATCTTCATTGTTCCGTACCATCTCAGTCTTTAAAGGAAAATTCCAACCTCCATTCACTTGTTTGCCACTTGCCAGCATACGCTGGCTCTGGGTACGAGAGTGGGAAAAATCAAGGAAGGCGTTCTGTGAGAATCAATTTCGGCTGTATGGAATTTGCAACGCAGACACATTTTATTTTTTGCTGATGACATTTATAATAAACACGTATTCATTTCTTCCCTTCTGGAGAGCTGGCTGTAAAACAACGCCACTGTTCCCCTCCCTACAGACCTGTCGGCTCCCCCAAACCCCATGATTCCCCACCATGCAGGTCTTCTGCCCACTGGCTCGTATAAACCAGCTGGACCTTGGCTCCTGGGGCGGGGGTGGATAGGGAAGTCTCCATGGAGCACGTGATCTTGATGGGACTTAAAAGGAGGGATGGGGGATGTGGGAGAGCTTAGTGTATGCTGGTCAGATTGGAGGGTGGGGGATGGGCACTGAAGATGGGCTGTGGAGGTGAAAGTCATTTAGCTGACCCATCTCCACCCAGCTGGAGAAGTTTGTTCCCAGAACTGACATTGAGCTGAATACGGCCACGCCGGGCACTAAATCATCAAACTAGTTCCATACTAATTGGCAAATGCCTGTTAGTCCCCACCCCTATTGTTGGATGCTTCCCCTGGACCTCCAGGGTGGCCCTTGTGACCCAGCATCCAAAACGTTAACACTGGGATGGGTGGGGGAAGTGTGCGGTCCAGGGTCCAGCCTCAAATCTGGTCAACTTCGGTCTACATTGGTTACTGCGCATTTTGACTGTCTCCTCTGGCGCAGCTGATTGGCTCAGGGTGGGTACATGACTCAAGCTGGGCCAATCAGATCTCCTCGGCAGGAATGTGGGCGGACCTGGCTTCCGTAGATGCTATGAGTCAGGGATTGGAAGGTGTGTGAGAGAGAGTCATGAAGGGGCCCATGTGCAGAGGGAGATGGGAGGAGGACCGTGCCCCCTCCAAAGGCCCTAGGGAAGAATCCTTCCCTGCCTCTTCCAACTTCAGGGGGTCACCCACAATCTTTGGAGTTCCTTGCCTTGCAGCTAGGTTACTCCCAGCATGGACGTGAATTCTGGAGGGACACTTTTCAACCATGTACGTCTAGTATCTACTCTTGGGGACCATGAGAAACCTGAATGCCCTCCAATAAATTTCCTGCTAAAGTGGATTTTGTTCTGTGCCACCTCTAAGACAGTGGTCCCCAAGAATGAAGGCCCTCAAGGCCATTGGTGTCCTTCTTGGTGGCTTTGGGATCCCGGACACCATCCTATTTCCTGTGTTACATTGAGGATGGGTCTGAGACCCACAAACAGAGTCCCTTAGCCCCTCCCGCCACAGCAGCCCCATAAGATGAATCTCCAGTGATGGAGACAGAGTGGAGAAGTCAGCAGACTTGATCCAGTTTCCTGTGTGAATGTATGTGTGTTGGGAGCAGTACAGTGAGGAAGGAGTGGGGATGGGTCTGCAGAGCATGCTTTTTTTTTTTTTTAAATAGTGTTAAGGACACTTCCCATGAGATCTATGCTCTTAACAAAATTTTAAGTGCACAACACAGTGTCGTTGACTAGAGGCACCGTGCTGTGCAGCAGATCTCTGAAATGTATTCATCTAGTGTAATGGAAACTTCTTACCTGTTGAACAACAGCTCCCCATTTCCCCCTCCCGCTAGCCTCTGGCAACCATCGCTGTACCTTCTGTTTCTAGGACTTTGACTTTTTAGATACCTCATCGAAGTGGGCTTGTGCAGGCTTTCTCTCTCTGTCTGGCTTATTTCACTGAGCATCATGTCCTTCAGGTTCATCCGTGTTGTTGCAGATGGCAAAGGTTCCTTTTTAAGGCCGAATAATATTCCATTGTATGGATGGACTACAGTTTCTTTATCCATCTGCCGATGGACATTTAGGTTGTTTCCATATCTTGGCTATTATGAATAATGCTACAGTGAACATGAGAGTGCCAATCTCTCTTTGGGATTCTGATTTCAGTTCTGTTGGCTATGTCCCCAGAAGTGGGATTGCGGGATCATACAGAATATGCATTTTAGTGTCATAGAGAGCTGAGTTCAAGCCCTGGTTCTGGCAGTGCTTGCTAAGCTGTGCATCCTTGGGCAGACGCCTTCACCTCTCTGGGCCTAGTATCTTCAATTGTCAAACTGGAAAAAGTTTTGTATTTCATGGGCTCTTGGGAGTGTTAAGTCAGCTGATGGGTTTAATAGCACAGTGCCTGGCATTTGATTTAATATGTGGAAGCTGTTGTTATTATTACACCAATCAGGTCACAGAGAGATGGCATCTAAGGTTCATAGTAAATCGGGTTAGGTGAAGTGAGTTCCTGGTAGGGAGAGCAGCATGTATCAAGGGCCAGATGTAGGAGTGTGGCTAGATAGTGTGAGATAGGGCTGAGGGGGTCAGATCATGCAAGCTCGTGAATGACAGCCCAAAGCTTTATCCCAAGGACAAGGGAGTATCAAGAAGACAGAGGTCAGATGAGCTTGTTAGAACTAGATCCCTCTGGCAGGGGTGCAGAGTTGGATGGGAGACAGAGAGGGGAGGCCCATGGAATCACCCAGTGAGAGATAGTGGAGGGTTGGGATGGAGTGTTGGCTTTGACAATGGAGAAACAGTGAATGCATATGGGAGAGAGATGATAGGAGGGTTAGGAGTTGGTGAGACTCTGAGCATCGGTGAGATGGAGGAGATGGAGGCGCCAAGACTTTTGGCCCATGCAACTGGATAGATGGTGGAGGCCTTTATGGATCTGGGGACCTGGATGACCACAGGTCACTCTGAGATATGGAATTTCCACGTGCCTTTGAAGTGACTGGGTGAGAATGTTAAGTCAATTCTCATAAGTGGCTATGCTAACTCTTTGGCTGGGATGGAAATTCGAGAGTTGTTTGTATATTTCCACATTGGGCATTTTGGACAAAGATGAGATCCCTTAGAAAAACAGGTTAAGAGGTAGCAGGAAAGAAGGTCTTAGACCAAGAGCTGAGGAACCCCAATAAACAATGGTTCCGTGGGAGGCCAGGATGCACGAAAGCCTGAAAAAGAGCAGCCAGACAGGAAAGAGGAAACTCAAGATTCCAAGGAATCTGTTTCAAGAAGGAAGTAGTCAATGGTGTTGGCCAGTGCTGACAGTCAGTTAAGATAAGAACCGAAAATATCTACCAGATTTTGAATCATCAGAATCATGAGTGGCTTTTATAAGGGTTATATTCAGGGGTATGAATTGATCTCTCTACGTCAGAGTGACTTGAGAAGTTAGTAACAAGTATAAAATCTGAGGTCACCTCTATAGATATTTTCTTTAAAAAAGTTAGTATTTGGAAAGCATTCCAAATTTAGAGAAACATGTTACACAAATAACAAAAGTACAAAGAATGCCTCCATATTCTTTACCTAGATTCACCAAATTGTTAACAGTTTGCCCCATTCACTTTATCATCTGCTCTGTCTCCTTTCTTCCCCCGTCATACTGTGACTATAAGTTGGAAGTATTCATTTGAATCAGATGTGGTCAAATTTATTAAGAAATAAAACCAGAGGACATCGCATACTCAGAGGTTGGGGCAGTTCTAGGAAATTCCTAAAGGTAGCATGAGTGAATTCAAGAAGTGGGAGGAAGTTTGGGGGCATTTGTCAAGGTGATTACACAGAAAGAAACATGGGGGCTAGCTGGCTTAGCTTTACCCTCTCTCTGGCCTACATACTAAGCAGATCCAATGATATAATTTGCCCTTTGGCTAATTCGTTGGATAAAATATGCACAAGTTACTAGCACTCCCTCTTCAGAGTCAAGTTACAGCAAATTGAACAGGAAGGGGAACAGGAATTTTCAAACAAAAAAATGAGCTGACAAGTAAGAACCACCAGGTATATGACTGAAATCACATGCTGCGGAAGAGACATTCCAAACTCCACAAAAGCAGAAAAAAATGAACACATGAAGAAATGAAGCTAATAGAACAAATAAAAGACTACAGCATAAATTAAAATCACTTCCCTAGAAAAAGTTTATTTCAGATTAAATGATATTTACATTCTCCAATAATAAATTCTGTAAAGATACTCCTTCAAAGTTGAATCAAACTTTCAGAGAGATGAAAGTTTAGACATTAAATACCATTGCTCATTAAGGTTCAAAGACATTAAAGTGCAAAGGAGTTGAGTTACCAGAGTGAGATTAGAGAACACTTTTTCATTCACTCATTTATTTGTTCAACAAATATTTACTGGAATTTTTTTTTCTTTTTAACATACCAGCAATTTTTCTAGGTGCTGGGGATTCAGAAGAAAGAAGAGAGACTTGATTTCTGCTCTCAGGCAGCTTATATTCTAGGTCAGGAGTCAGCAAAAACTATTAACTGCTTTTGTAAGTGAAGTTTTATTGAAATATGGCCACGATCAGTTTTTATGTATTGCCGATAGCTGTTGTCATGCTGCAGTGGCAGAGTTGAGTAACTATGACAGAGAGTGCATGGCTCTTGAAGCCTAACATAGCTGGTACCTGGACCTTCACAGAAAACGTCGCTGATCTCTATTCTAGATAACCCCAAATAGAATAATTTTACATTGTATGAATACTGTATTAGTCAGAGTTCTCTAGAGAAACAGAACCAATAGGATATGTATATACATACAGAGATTTATTTTAAGGAATTGGCTTATACAATTGTGGGAACTTGCAAATCTGACATCTTTAGGGCAAGTTAGCAGCCTGGAGACCCAGGGAAGAGTGGATGTTGCAGTCTCAAATCTAAAGGCAGTCTGGAGGCAGAATCACTTCATCCTTTGGGGGACATCAGTCTTTTTCTCTTAAGGCCTTCAACTGATTGAACAAGACCCACCCACATTATGGCAGGCAATCTGCTTTATTCAAAGTCTACTGACTTAAATATTAATTGCTCCTAAAAATACTTTACAACAACATTTAGGTTGATGTTTGGCCAAATATCTGGTACTGTGGCCTAGTCAAGTTGATATATAAAATTAACCATCACAAATGTTATGAAAGAAACATACAGGGAGATGTCTTAGAGAATGAAGGAGGTCTACTTTCAAATGGTGGCCAGGGCTATTTTCTTTTAGAAGGCAACAGATGAGCTAGTATTGAAGTGATGACAAAAATCCAGCCGTGGGAGTACCTGGGAAGAAAACATTTCAGGTAGAAGGTACGAAAGCCCTGAGG